TGAGGTCATTTGAGTTCTATTTGTGACTGCCATGAGTGTGTCAAACAACCTTGGGTAAATCGGTTTTTTGTGTCATTTTCAGAAACAGTAAGCACCTTGGAGCAGGAGTTCTGTTCCAGGGGTTTCTATGTGAGCGCGTCTGTCTCTTGGGGATCTATAAACCCAAGCATGCTGCTGGTATCTGTTGTCTGAATGTGAATCCATGTATGTGTTGTTATTTTTCAAGCATACATAGATGATACCTGATTTAAAAATGCAGAATGGCAAGAAGCTACTATTAAATATCTTTGCATTTGATTAATCCACAGATGCTAAAATCAAAACTACTGTCATGCAGAGGTTGACATTTTTAGTGTTAAAAATGGTATGGTTTCCTTTGTACTGAGTTAATGGAGGTTCTTTTAGTTTAGAACCTTGGTCGTCTTAGCCAAAGGACTACACAGGTGCCTATTTGCATATAGAAATAGGTTGCTTCTTAGAAAATTGTAATACACTACTTTGATCCTTGTGGTTTTATATTTACCCTCTCTGGCGACACCTAGTGGTTATACTAAGAAGTGCTGCCTTTTTGTCTAGAGGCCCTCCTTAGGACAGTGGCTATTTCAGACACCCCCAGGCCTCAGAGAGGGGGGCTTCTCCTGTCCTCAGCCCAGCTGGTGAGTGTGTGTCCTACTTGCCCACATTCATGGTAGATGGATCCAAGGTATCAGCCAATTCTGAATGCAGGTGGAGGTGGTTTCACTAAAAGGTGGGATGGAGAAAACGTTGCATGATTGGAACCCTGGAGTAGGAATTTTTAAACAAAAATAAAAATAATATCCATGATTGCCTTGGGTTTAAGGCTACATTCATTTAGGAAGCCTGCAGGAAACTTTTCTATGTCTGCTAAGTTGGGTTAGACCCCTCCCCTGTGCTGTAATCTCTAGTATTTTATTAGACTCACCTCCTCCATGGCTGATGCTGTGGGTTATCTACTCTTACTATCTGGGCCGAACAGAGTAGGCACTCAGTAACATCACATTGAGTTTTTTAATCTTTTTATTTTACGCATGAATAGGATTATTTATGGTTCCTGGGGGTCTGAATTCATGTTGAATTTATTAAAATTATAAACATTAAAAACCTTAGATTTTTTTTTAAGGCTTTAGGTTCAATTTATAAATACTGTTGCTCTATTTATAAAGCTAGTAATTTTTGTACTAACATAACATTTAATTATTTGATTAATGGTTTATTAACTCAAGGTTAGCTGATTAAAATCTCCTAAACAATTTACTGTAAATTGGTTTCTTTTACCACTCAGTGAATTAAAAAAAAATTTAAGCTTTTTAAACTGCATTTACAGATTGATTCACCTGATTTTTCTCCAGCTACTCCAAGCCGTAATGAGGCTCTCTGCAAAGCTTATGAGCCAGGTTGCTTCACACACCGAAGCAATTCTTTGCAATTTAGTAAACCAAACTTAGAAATGTGGTAAATCAGCTTCCTTTAAACATCAAATACTGTGTTCAGACTGACACGGATTTTCTTACTTCTTACAAATGAAAATTGCAAGTCTAATCCCATTGCACATTTCAGTTTCAAACCACAGAGGCCAAGATGTTGGGTCCTCTAACTTGTCAAATGGTTGTGATTACTTTAATAACAGAGATGCGTGTTATTCTGAAGATTACAGAATTTAAATTTATAATTGCTTTTATTCCTTAACATAAAAGCGTGGTGTGCTTGATCGCTAAGATTTTTTTCTTTACCATCCCTGGTAAGAAACATACTCAGGCTGAAAGTGGTTACTGTGTTGATTTGTGATCTGGATTCTCTTATTAATAGAGATTCTGGCCTGGACCAGGGCCTGGGCACTAAATTTCTGCAGGCAGAGACTAACACACAGGGACGCAGGCTGAGCTCTTTCTTAAGAGTCTGATTCCCTCTGTTCTGCCCGTGGGGGATCCAGGCTTATGCCTCCTAACTGGGATTTAGCTTTAAAATCCAACACACCTTATGATCTCTCTGTATCTTTTTGGGTGGATAGAATTTTGCACCCCGCTTAGATTGCAGCTAATTTTCTTCACTTCTTGATTGGAATGAACATATTTCTTCTGATTGGATTCTGTATTCTTCTCTCTCTCTCTCTCTATATATATATATACATATTTATTTTTTTTTGGACTGGTGCTTGGTCACAATTCTGTAGTCATTTTCTTAAACAGTAAGTGTCAATATAGTGAATTAACTGGTCATAGGGCATAGGGGTGTTGTTGGCATGTGGAATCCATTAATTTCTTTCTCCTTTCCTTTCTCTTTAATCCCCAGCACCTATTTCATTCATCCCCACACCCACCTCCCCTCTGGTCACCGTCAGTTTGTTCTCTTTTGTTAAGAGGCTGTTTCTTGGTTTGTTTCTCCCTTTTTCCCCCTTTGCTCACTTGTTTTGTTTTTTAAATTCCACATATGAGTGAGATAAAATGGTATTTGTCTTTCTCTAACTGACTTATTTCACTTGGCATTATACTCTATAGCTCCATTCATGTTGTTGCAAATGGCAAGATTTCATTCGTTTTTATGGCTTTGTAATATTCCATTGTGCATATACACCACCTCTTTATCTGTTTATCAGTGGATGGACCCTTGGGCTGCTTCCATAGTTTGGCTATTGTAAATAATGCTTCTGTAAACATAGGGGTGCATGTATCCCTTTGAATTAGTGTTTCTATATTTGATGGGTACATACCCAGTAGTTTGATTATTGGATCATAGGGTGGTTCTATTTTTAACTTTGTCAGGAACCTCCATACTGTTTTCCACAGTGGCTGTACCAGTTTGCATTCCCACCCATAGTGCATGAGTATTTCTTTTTCTCCACATCCTTGCCAACACTTGTTGTATCTTGTGTTTTGGATTTTAGCCATTCTGTCCTCTCATGTGGTTTTGATTTGCATTTCCCTGATGCCGAGCGATGTTGAGCATCTTTTCGTGTATCCGTTGGCCATCTGGTTGTCTTCTTTGGAGAAAAGTCTGTTCATGTTTTCTGCCCATTTTTTAAATTGGATTATTTGCTTTTTGGGTGTTGAGTTTTGTAAGTTCTTTATAGATTTTGGAGACTAACCCTTGATCAGATCTATCATTTGCAAATACCTTCTCCCATTCAGTAGGTTGCCTTTTAGTTTTGTTGATTATTTCCTTTGCTGTGCAGAAGCTTTTAATTTTGATGTAGTCCCAATAGTTTATTTTTGCTTTTATTTCCCTTGTCTCAGGAGACCTATCTGGAAAGATGTTGTTATGGCCAATGTCAAAGAAATTACTGCTTGTGTTCTCTTCTAGGATTTTTATGGTTTCAAGTCTCACATTTAGGTCCTTAATCCATCTTGAGTATTAATGTGTATGGTGAAAGAAAGTGGTCCAGTTTCATTCTTTCGCACATTGCTGTCTAGTTTTCCCAGCACCATTTGTTGAAGAGACTGTCTTTCCCATTGAATATTCTTGCCTCCTTTGTCAACAATTAATTGACCATATAATTGTGGGTTTATTTCTGGGTTTTCTATTGTTTATTGGTCTATACGTCTATTTTTGTGCCAGTACCATACTGTTTTGATTACTACAGCTTGGTAATTATCTGAAGTCTAGAATTGTGATACCTCCAGCTTTATAGGATTGCTTTGGCTATTTGGAGTCTTTTGTGGTTCCATACAAATTTTAGGACTGTTTGTTCTAGTTCTGTGAAAAATGCTGTTGGTATTTTTATAGGGATTACATTAAATATGTAGATTGCTTTGTATGGACATTTTTTATTTTATTTATTTATATTATTTTTTTATTATGTTCAGTTAGCCAGCATATAGTGTATGGATATTTTAACATTTGTTCTTCCAATGCATGAGCATGGAATGTCTTTCCATTTCTTTGTGTCATCTTCAATTTTTTTTTTTTATTGTTTTCTGAGTATAGGTCTTTCACCTCTTTGGTTAAGTTAATTCTTATGTATCTTATTATTTTCGGTGCAGTTGTGTAAATGGGGTTGTTGTAATTTCTCTTTCTGCTCCTTCATTATTAGTGTATAGGAATGCAACAGATAGTTCTGTACGTTGATCTTGTATCCTGCAGCTTTACTGAATTCACTTACCAGTCCTAGCAGTTTTTTGGTGGTCTTTCAGGTCTTCTGTATATAGTATCATGTCATCTGCAAATAGTGAAAGTCTGACTTCTTCCTTATCAACTTGGACGCCTTTTCTTTTTGTTGTCTGATTGCTGTGGAATCCACTAATTTCAGTCTCTTTTGTCCAAAGCCTGCAGTCCCTCACTGATTTTCCCTTCTCACCACCAGGGGTTCTCAGCTGCCTGCCTGGTAGTGTCACATCTGTGGAGCTTTGCTGCTGCACACAGCCAAGGGCCCCATCTCAAACCCAATGAGGGAGAACTTCTGTCAGGCATCGTGTGTTAAAAATATGCCCGGTGATTCTTTTTTTTTTTTTAAGATTTTATTTATTTATTAGAGCATGAGTGGGGTGAAGGGCAGAGGGAGAAGCAGACTCCCCGCTGAGCAGGGAGCCCGATGTGGGGCTCGATCCCGGGACTCCAGGATCATGACCTGAGCCGAAGGCAGTCGCTTAACCAGCTGAGCCACCCAGCTACCCCAAAAATGTGCCCGGTGTTTCTGATGCACACAGAGGATTAAAGACCACTGTAGCTGTAAAAAGATTTCAGACCATTAAATAAAAATCTCCCCATCCTTACCCCCTTTACATGGAAACATAATGGGAAATGCACAGACAGAACAAACTTCCTAAGGTAGGAAGTTTGGCTAATGCTCGATCGGACCATTTTCCTGTAGAAAGTTGGAGTTATAAAGGAGATGTTTTAAGATGTAGGTTATAAAATCTTTATGGGATGTTTTTCTTTTTTATTTGTTTAAAGTACTTGTGGGTGGGTCATGCACAGACCCTTCTTAATCTGTTATACCCGGCACTGTCAGGCACACATCCAAGTGTTTCCTTCCTTTGCCCCAGGTTTCTGTTGATGTACTCCACAGTTTTGTGCAGCTATTACAATTCGGCCCTCACAACAGCAGTGGTTGGAGCCATCAAGGTAAGTGGGTGAAGCCTTGGGAAATGGGGAATTGGCAGTGAATCCAGTCTTCACGGGAGAAGCAGAGTTCGATTTTATTGTTGTAACGGGTGGTATAGGAAGCGTGGAGGCCTGTGACCTTTTCAGCTGTACCTGAGTGATCTCTTCTTAGATCTTCTCAACCCTAATCCATGAAACCGAGGGAGGGCTTGCTAATTTAAACAAGGAGAGACAAATTATGACCTTTAATTTGGGGGCAGTAGAAGGGGATGGTCTGGGAAAATGAAGTAAAATAGAAAAATATTCCAAATTTTGCACTCACAAGATACCTTGTTCAGTACCTTGTTTGTACACCTTGGTTTTCTGGGAGAACCCGTTGACTGAGAAAGGGAAGCCTTGTGAAGAACTGTTTTTAATTTAGATATATGTTCAGTTATAAGGTACTAAACTCATGGATTGTGTGTAGGTATGTTTTGTGTCTGTGCGTTTGAATACACACAACAATGGAGAGGAGGCTGGGGTGTTCTGTGCTCTGTCCCTTGCGTTGTTTTTCCAATCACACAAATAGAGTGAGTGAGGAAGACTGCCTGCTCTAACAGGAGACTTGTCTGTTGGCTACGCAGACCCTCCTAGAATACACAGGGCAGGGCACTGCTTGGAATTTGTTGGTTGTCTAATCCATGCAAGTTTAGGGTCAGTATGATTAAAATTCACTACCCAGTGGTGGTAGAGAGCCAGGATCTGGAAAGCTGATTACAACTCAACTCTTACAACTTTTTTCCTGTGTGTTAACTGTAAGGGGCATGAATGATGCAGTGTTCTGTAATTGCCATGCCATATAAAGCCATATGTAACGGTTTTTTATTCATTCATTCAACATTCTGTGAACAGCTACTGTGTACAAGTCTCTGGGCAAAGTAACTAAAATATTTAGTTTCAGATTTTACCATATATATATATTTTCCCCCTAAATCCTTCCCTTTTAAAAAGACTAATCCTCTCTCTTTTTCTGCAGAATGTTTCCATTGCTTACATTGGAATGTTAGTTGGTGGAGACTACATTTTCTCTGTGTTAAACTTTGTAGGGTTAAATATTTGGTAAGTGGGATTTCTAAATGAACTGATTTTAGTAAAATATGAATTTTAAAAAGTGTGATTAATCTGTTACAAGTGAAAGAACGGGAGGTGTTTTGACATTTTAGTTTCTAAGATAATTTTACTTAAATCACTCAGTTCATCTGTTTTTATGACATGCTCCATGGATCATGGGGATGTGTATGATGAAAATTCAAGGGGCTGAGATCTGAGTTTATTTCGTGTGTCTTTCTCACCAGAAAAAAAAAAAAAAAAAGGCTCCTAAGTTGTCTGCCTTCATTTTGCGAAGTGGGCCTTACTGACGTCCTGCTCCGTCAAAGCAACCATACATTCAGGATATTGGGAGGAGGGGCTGAGATACTTTTGAAAGGCATTTTGGGGTCCTAGACACGGGACACTGTCTTAGGATAATAGTATAGTTTATTCAATAATAAACAAATATTTTCTCTCCAAAGTTTTGTATTGAATTTGATCTATTCTTTTTCTGCCCCCAAAGATTTCTAAATAAGAGGGGGTAATTTTCATCAAGTAATCCACAAGCTAGGAGAAAAACAGGGGTCTCAATCACTCCCTTCAAATTAAGCTGGCTAGATCTATAAAGATGTATATTTTATACAGACCTGGTGGTACTACCTATGAGTTTATTTATTTTCACTTTTTTTTCCTCCTTTCAGCATGGCAGGGGGCTTGAGATACTCCTTTTTAACTCTGAGCAGCCAATTAAACCCTAAACAACCTGTGGACGAAGAAAACATTCCTCTGGATTTGAAGAGTTAGAATCTGAGGCAGGATTGCAGACTGGGAACATGGGGGTGGGGGGCACTCCCCGCTGTAGAAATGTGAAGCCAGACGTTCTGGTCACTGACAACACTCAGCCCCCTGGTTAAAGCACAACAGGAATGTCTGCCAACTGCGAAGAGAACCTACCTCACACGTTACTGCACAGTGAGCCATCCTCAGCCCCGAGAAGCGCATTTGGGCAAAGCCTTACCATCTGAAAGTGAATCTTTCAGAGGAGACCATTGATTAAAGGGATTGTAACCGAGTGCGGGCAGAGCACTGACCGTTTGGTCACCCAGCCACATCTCTGAGCTTTGTTCGCCAGTACCAGGTGCGTTTAAGAGGACGGAAATGGCTGATGGTGTGAAAGTGATTATCATCAGCACCTTGGCCTTCATTTCAAGGATCCCAGCCAAAGCAAAGTGCTAGTGAGAACAATTTTCTTTTCCAATTTAAACAAACATGTCTTTATTTTAATAAAATTAGCCTATTTGGGCACCTGGGTGGTGCAGTTGGTTGAGCCACTGCCTTTGGCTCAGGTCATGATTCCGGAGTCCTGGGATCGAGTCCCGCATCGGGCTCCCTGCTCAGCGGGGAGTCTGCTTCTCCCTCTGACCCTCTTCCCTCTTGTGCTCTCATTCTCTCTCTCTCAAATAAATAAATAAAATCTTTAAAATAAAATAAAATAAGCCAATTAACTGCAAGTTATTTGTTAGCTCTGATTTGATCATATATGTTGGTATCTTTTCCCAATCATCAAAGTAAAATAAAAAATAATTTATATGCAGGTCTCATACTGTGATATTATTGTAGATAGGCAGAAAGACTCTGCCTGAAGGGTGATATTCCTTTTAAGACTCATGCTGGAAAATATTACAAAATAACTCAATTGGGAAAAAACCTCCATGTGCCCTATTCACATTTAAGTAGCTCATATTTTTCTCCCCATATCCCCAGGTTTGTTCAGGGGGTTTTTGAAATTCAGATCACTTGGATTTTAACCAAAGGTACATTTTTTCATAGGCTCATCTGACCTCCCAGAACTCATTCCCTGTGTGGGAATGAGCCCTGAATGGATGAACATTATTATTTTCATTTCCATCAAGAAATGGGCTGGGGTGCCTGGCTGGCTCAGTTGGAAGAGCGCGCGACTCTTGAACTCCTGAGTTCAAGCCCCACGTTGGGTGTGGAGCCTACTTAAAGTAAAGCAGTGGGCCATCCCTGTTGGGGCTGTGGTGCAGGGTGAGGCCCCAGTCTGGGAGACAGGAGCCCTTCTAATCCCACCTCCACCTCTAACCACCTGACACACTCACAGGTTACCTTGCCATTGTGGCCTCCATTGTTTTAATCTTAAAGTTGAACTGGATCTCCAAATCCTTGCTAGCTCTCACTTTCTAAGTTTCTAGAAGCTGAGCCAGATGTGGGACAGAGCAGCAAATGAAGGAATGATTATATTGATGCATGGTTTCAAATTACCTTTTAAAACAATTTAGTTTTGGGGCACCTGGGTGGCTCAGTCGGTTAAGCGGCTGCCTTCGGCTCAGGTCATGATCCCGGGGTTCTGGGATCCAGCTCCACGTCCGGCTCCGTGCTCAGCAGAGAGCCTGCTTCTCCCTCTCCCTCTGCCTGCCACTCTGCCTACTTGTGCTCTCTATTTCTCTGTCAAATAAATAAATAAAATCTTTTTTTAAAAAATTTAGTTTTAATTGTAAAACACACAGAACATAAAATTTACTATCTTAACCATTTCTAAGTGTACAGTTCCGTAGTGGTAAGTATATTCAGATTGTGGTGCAAGCATCTCCAGAACATTTTCATTTTGCAAAAGAAACTCTGCACCCGTGAAACAGCCCCTGGCAGCCATCGTTCTAGTGTCTGTCTCTATGCATATGACTACTCTAGATATCTAAGTGCAGTTGTACAGCGTTTGTCCTTCTGTGCCTGCCTTACTTAGGGTAATGTCCTCAAGTTTCATCCTTGTAGCAGATGTCAGAATTTTCTTCCTTTTGAAGGCTGAATAATATTTCATCATATGGATGGATATACCACATTCGGCTTATCCATTCATCTGTCAGTGGACACTTGGCTATTTATGAATAATTCTGCTATAAGCATGGTGTACAGATGTGTGTACAGACCCTGTTTTTAATTCTTTTGGATATTAAAATTTATTAATTTATTTCCTCTATATACAGAACACTTCTGACATCAAACGTGTGGTTTTGTTTTGTTTTGTTTTTTAATCTCATATCAAGGAATTCTCCTCTCTGGACACCAACCAGGTGTCCTACAATTCAATTCTAACTGCCTGGAGCTATAGTGCAGACCCCGCAGGTGAGGGACTCAGTCCCCTAAGACTTCCCCCACTTCCGATGCCAATCCCACATCCAGTGCTTCTGACCAACTGGCCATGAAATCAGGGGTTTGTACACCCCCCTCCCTCAGGTTGGTTAATTTGCTGGAATGGCTCACAGAACTCAGGGGAAGTGCTTGACTTTCTATTACTGGTTTCTTATAAAGAATACAGCTCTGGAACAGCCAGGAAGAAGAGATGCATAGGAAGCGGTGTGTGGGAAGGAGCTTGGAGCTTCCATGCCCTCTCTGGGTGCACCACCCTCTCACACATCACTGATGTGTTCGCCAGCCTGGAGCTCTCCAAGCCCCATGGTCTGGGCACCCTTACTCTTTCCTATAGCAGCTGCACCATTTTACATTCGTGCAAGGGTTCCAGTTTCTCCACATCTTGTCTGACTTGTTATTTTCTGAGTGGTTTTTTGTTTTGTTTTGTTTTGCTTTGCTTTTGTAGTAGCCATTCTGATGGGTGTGAGGTTATTATCTCATTGGAGTTTTGATTGTATTTCCCTAGTTTTTAGTGATGTTGGACATTTTTTATGTGCTTGTTGGCCATTTACATGTCTTTGGAGACGTGGCTTTCTAAATCCTTTGCCCATTTTTGAATTGGGTTGTGTGTTTTGTTGTTGCGTCATTGGGGGTTCCTATTTAATTTTTTTTCTTCTACAATCACCCTGAATACTTCTTTACATGACCCTGTCTTTTTACCTTTCTGTGGCGACTTCTCCTGCTTCCATTGTGTGGCCAGCAGAGGGCGCGCAAAGAGCAGCCCGGAAGCATTTGCAGTTTCTAGACGATCCCTAAAGACCCAGTTTCCCGCGCTGTGGCGGTGGTGGGAGCTCCAATCTGGTTTTCGAATTAAGATTAGTTGAGGAAGCTGGGTGCGGAGAGGTGGTACGAAAGGGATTCATGAGCCTCAAGGAGGCTAAAGAGGAAATGTAGCTTAATGCCCCAGGTCTCTAGATTTCTTTTATTCTTACTAAAAGATGTTGCAAAAGCCATTTTACAATGGATGGGACAAAGAAAATTAATTTAATATCATTGATATTTTGCTTACTTCTGGCTATTGTACTACAAATAATAGCGACACCATTTGTTAACTTGGACTTTTCCCTGCTGTGTTAATATTTTTCCTGCATATTAAATGTATCGCAAGTACAGGGACACTGGAGTTTCGGACAGCTGAGTTTGCTTAAAGAATAGAACCTAGTTTAGAGAAGAGTTATATATATTATGTATATATACATATACACACATTTCTATTTCTATTTATATGTAGTATCTGAGCCCTCAGGAAAATGGTGGTTACATATGTCAATTTCAGACTCTTCAGTTACTTTTTTTTTTTTTGCACAATCATTTGAGTTTAGTTTTCTCCTTTCCTTTCAACTTCATTGTTTTTCAGCTACAAAATAAGCTTAAAACCACAGGTTTGGGTGTACCCTCTGTGAGCGTACATGTGTTTGTCTCAGCCCTGGGGGAACATCTGGTCACAAAGCATTCTGATGCTGGAGACCCGGGACAGCTCACCGTCTGCCAGGAGTAACGGGGCAGCGCTGGCTGCAGACGTTGCCTAGACAAGCTGTGCTAGCGATCGAGGAAGAGCAAGCAGAAGGAGCACATCGCCAGGAAGAAGAACGCCCACACTCAGAAGCCGCTCTTCATCGCCCTCCTTGATATCCTCAGTGACTTCTACGACTAATTGGTGAATGCCATCCATCTCAGCTTCTTGTTGTAAAACCTTCTCTGTGACTCTCTGTTAGAGTCTGGAAATTTCAACCACTTTTCCTTTGATTTGCCCTGCTTCATCCAATAGGCTGTTCACTTCACCAGTTAGGCACTGATTTTCTTGTCCAAACGTTTGTGTTTCTTTCAGGGATAATTCATTTTCCCTTTGCTGTCTCCCCGGGTGCCCAATTCAGGTTGTGCTTTGCTCAGAGTCTTGTTTGGATATTCCTCAGTGACAGGTTTTTCTTCAGAGACTTTTGAAGGTTTCTGTGAATTTTCTCAGAAGACATGGATTCTCTTGTCTTTGTATTTGGTTCTGGTTCCAATTTAGATAATCTTTTCTCATCACCACTTGCTTAACTCCGGTGGCTCTTTGTCCTGAGTGAAGTTTGCATACTGTTTTAAAGTAACATGCTGTGAAATCTGAAACAGCACTCCTGTTCTTGCTGGAAATGTATCTCTGTGGGCTGGTGTTCTTAGTTGCCTAATGGCTTCTGAGCAGATCCTCACCAATGTCTGAGCGTCCCGGGTCTATCTGATCGTCTGTGTATGTCGTCCTTCCACATTCAGGCACAATGTGGCTATAAGCATTCATATAATCTGCACTGTTTTCCAGAAGATAACTTCTCAGTTTGCCAGTGCGTAAAATCTTGTGCGGGACAGAGCGCATGGATGGTGACCAGTTGGGTGCAATAAGAGCTAAGACAGAGTAGGTGTGCAAGGCACCGAGATGGAGGCCACAGGCCTTTTTCTCCCCCAACCTACAACCATCCAATCCATCAAATGAAGACGGCACCTTCCTCCAAGGGTTATTGTAAGAATTAAATGAGATAAGGCATGGAGAGTGTTTTGGCATTGCTTTGGCCCCCAGTGACCAACAAAAGTTAGTTTCTGTTGTTAATAATAATATTATTGTTATCATTCTTGTTTCTAATTATGGTGGGAAGAACTCTAAAGAGAGCATCGCTCTACAGAGAAGGCATATTGGAAGGATGACTAGGAATTTATCAGATGGGGACAAGGGCAGAAAAACCACTTCAACTTTAAAGTCTTGGTTACTTGGCCTTATGAATCATTTTTGT